GGAAGAAGAGAAAGAAAGAAGGGGGAAAAAAGTGGAAAAAGGAGAAAAAAGAGTGGAAAAAAAAAGAAAAAATAAAAAAGGGAAAATAAAAGAGGGGTGGGAGGAAAGAAAAAAAGGAGGAAAAAGAGGAGGATAAAAAAAGAAAAAAGGAGGAGGAAAAAAAAGAAAAAGTATAAAAAGGAAAAAAACAGCAAAAAAGACAAAAGGAAAATAAAAGGAGGAAAAAAGAAAGAAAAAAAGGAGAAAATGTGGAGGATAAAAAGAAAAAAAAAAAAGGAGGATAAAAAAGAAAAGGAGGAAAAGAAGAAAAAGGGAAAAATAAGGAAAAAAAGAAATAAATGAGAAAGGAAAAAAGAGAAAAAAAGAAAATGAAAGGGAAAAAAAAGAAAAAAGAGACAAAAAAAGTGGAAAAAAAAAGAAGAAAAAAAGGAGACAAAAAAATGGAGGGAAAAGAGCAAGAAAAAGAAAAGAGGAAAACATATTAAAGAAAACCAAATAAAGAGCATACAAAATGTACAAAATAAAAACCAAAGAAATAGCAGAAGAAAAAGAGCAGGGGGAAAAAAAGCAATAAAGAGAAGAGGTTAAAAAGAGCAAGAAATCGGCAAAAGAAAAAGCAAAGGGAAACAACAAAAAATTAATAATGAAGGCAGAACAATTTTTTTGTTAAAAAAAAAAAAAGTAAAATAGCAAAGATTTTGAAAAGAGAAAAAAAAAAAAAAAAAAAGTAGAAAATTTACAAAGTTGTTGGTGTGCATTTCATGCACTGCATGACCTCATCCCTCAGGCATGCCGGCCCCGATTAGATTAAAACCCAAAATATTTACTGCCGCCGCGCTGGGGGCAGAAGGCACGCATTGGGAGTGCAGCCCCAGCCTGTAGGGCTGCATGGGGGCCTGTGGGGGAAAGCCCCATGGAGGTGTGGGGAGCTGCTGGGGAGGCCACCATGCCTGGACAAGAGCGTGGCACCGCAGGGCTCGGTGCTGGAGGCCCTGGGCTTGGCCTCCACGCCGTGTTCCCATCGTGCCAAACAACAGGAGGCCGCCGTGGAGTGGGAGCAATGCAGAAAGAGGGATCTGTCCGTCCTTCAAGATGGAGATGTCGTCCTTTGGGTCAGGCTGCCCAGAGCCCCGACCAACCCAACCATCAGCCCTTCCCGTGCAATGGGAACGGACCGAAGGAGGTCTGTTCCTGCAGCGCTGGGCAGCTGCCAGAGCCTGCTGGGAAAGGAGAGGGGAAAAAGTTGCTCTCCTTCTAGGAACGGCCGCTCCAGCCAACAGAAACCCCCTGCCATCCCAAATGTCTGGGGGGACCCCAATGGCAATGTGGGGTGGTGGGGATGGGGCGTGACACAGTGAACCATGGGCTCCCACAGGGCTGGGTTTGACCGCAAGCCACCCAGCAGGCAGATATTCCAAACAAATAGCAGAGAACTGAAGAGATGAGTGCAACGAACAAGGCCAGCTCTGCACAGCCTCCCTGGAGATGCACCTTCCCCTTATTCATTTTTAATCACATCCCGCTTACTGCTGCGTGAAGCCCAAAGCCACACTCTGTGTCTCCTCCTCCCCATCCCCTGGGGCTTTGCTCATCCCCACACTGCTCATCACTCCTGCACAGCCACACATCCCACCGCGCTCCTTCGTCTCAATGCAGGGAAGATCAATTTTTCATGTGTGCAGCCTTTCTCCTCACTATGTGCAAAGAAACACTGCTTCAAGCCCACACTCTGCACCGTGCCCCCAACTTCTTTGATTGCTGCTGTTAATGGATGCAGTCTGGGGCTGCTGGGGGATGGCTTTATTTTTAGTTTTCCAAGCCCTGGCTCTGCAGAAGCATCTTAATTGCTATTCTTTAGCTGGAAAATGAAACACAGATGCGTTGCCTTACCGAGGTCCAGCAGCCTCCCGCGTGGCACAGAAGGGAAAACACGGGAACCTGCAGAGGCCTGCAGGGTCAGGGCTGTTCACCAATATTAGCCCAGCAAAAAAAAAAAAAAATCACTCTCAAAAGATGGAGGGGGACACTGCCCCATCGATGAATGGAGTGTCCAATGTGCAGGCAGCCCCCAACCTGCCCTCTGTGCCGCATCTACCTTCAAAGAGAAACTCCTTATGTATATATCACCTCGTTATACCCATGGATATTCAATTATACCCTTATTTGTGGCCTTTGAAATGGGATTAAACAAGAAGAAATACTTAAGCACTGACATGTTTCTGCACACATGAGCACGCCAGCCCCCAGCACACCATCTCCAGCAGGCAGAAGGCTGGGGAGGTGGCTGCAGTCCCTCCCCGCGCTGAGGGTCCCACATCCCATCCCTCCCACAAAGCCCGCGTTTACTGACGCAAATAGCTTTTTTCCATCAGTGGAACGTGGGTGTTTTCCTAAAGGCGTTGAGTTTCCACGTCCCACCCGGGCATCCTCTGGAGATGCTGTGGGGCACACCTCAAAGCAGAATTTCCTTCCCACTTGCAAACATCACCCTCCTTATCCCAATAACAGCGAGGGAGTGTGCTGGGGGACTGCTGGGAGCAGGCATTCCTGATCCCTGCAGAGCTGGGATGCCTGAGGCCGAGGGCGCTGAATGCCTGCACACTGCAGCCATGACGTTCCCACCCCAAAATAAATGGAGCACGGTCCCTTTTCACACCCAAATGCATTCATACCCATCAGCCCCTTTTCTTCCAGACAATTGCTTTTGGCCCATGTTGGAAATCACTTGTCACGAAGGTGGGAAAGCGGAAAGAAGCCTTTGAGACCCCAGTGCAGGTGATGCAAATCTCCAGCCTTCATTACTCAGATTAAAGGGCTGGAGGGCTGCAGCAATTAATGACTTGCTCATTAAGCCCCTGCTCAGCCTCCCCCCCTTGTTAGGGAGGGTGTGGGTGGGGGCACAGCCCACTCCTGCCTCTCATTATGAGTCCAGCCCAATCAGCAGAAAATACTCAGCAAAACAATGATGCAGCCAGAAAAAAAAAAAAATGCAAAACCAAAAGGCCCGCTTGAGCTGGAAAATCAAATGCTGTCGAGGGAACCTTGGGGGAAATCAGGGCACTTGCAGCCACAGCAGGAATTAAGCCAAGGAGGTTGTTTTTTTTTTTTTTTTTTTTTTTTTTTTTTTTTTTTAAATAATCTTATGCTATTTTTAAATAATTTTTTTCCAGGCTCCCCTTTCTGCTCTCCACTGTCTGCGCCTCCTGCTGCTGGCAGTGGATGAAAGCAGGCAGCTCCAGCCATCCCCAAGCACTGGGGTGCAAGCAGGAGAGAGCCCTGCGTCCCTTCTTGATCATTTTGCACCCAATTAAAAAAGAATCTATTCATTATGCCTATTATTTATGTTTTCAGGTGCACTCCAGATGTATTTTCTGAAGGCCTAATGCTTAGAGGCAGAATTCCCACTGTCTTTCCAAGTGCTGCCATTGAATATAGGACGCTCCGAGACTTCAACCACCATCAGACATTGGATGCTCCAATGTATTGCTACCTCCAGTGCCAGAAACAACTAAAAAAAAAAAATTAGCAAGAACAAGCAAATACCACCAGCTACTGAGAATTCCCAGTGTGCAAGGAGGGGGAAGGCTGCGAGTCCCAAAGCAAGCTACAGAGCTTTGGGTCTGGATATACACATACATGTCTGCATGCATACCTATACAAACACTTGTAAAATAAGTGTATGTGTACATGCTTACAAATATTGCTATGTCAGTATGCATACACATATATAGTCGCTCATGCTCCCTTGCTCACAAGCACCCGCACAGCTTCTTGTTTAATTTATAACATCTTTATTGCATCTTGAAGAACCCCTGACCCTAATCCTCATGCTCAGAGGCTCTCCCCTCCCTCCCTCTCCCCTCTTACTGGTTCTTTTTTTCCTCCCTTTTCATTTTGGGGGCACGCAGTCTCTGTCCCTACACGAAGTTCCCACGGCTGAGCCAGCCGGCCCTGCTCTGCGCCCTCCAGCGCCCGCGCAGCCTCCGCAGTGGCTCCTCATCCTCCAGCTGCTCCAGCTCGGGGAAGCCCAGCCCATCCAGCACCTCGTACACACCGGCCACGGCCGCCACCTGGAAGCACAGCAGAGGGTGAGGTAGTTTTGCTGCAGATGAACGGCCGCACAGCATCTCCTTGCGTGACCCAAGCCCACCGCGCCTGCATGGCACCGACCCCTCCCCAAGCCTTCCTCTGGCTGCCGCTGCTGGGTTTTATAAGCAGCTTTATGGTTTGTTAGCTTTGGCGCCCTTCCGGAAATAAAGTTACAATGTGGCCTTGTTGGGTTTTTATTTATTTATTTTTTTAAATAAAAACTGAAAGCACAGCGCTTGTGCTGGAGCCAAAGGGACCTTTGATGCTCAGTGGGGCACAGCATCTGCCCAAATGGGGCACCTGGGGAGGACATCTCAGATTTGAAGTCTTCCTGGAGGAGTCAAGAAGTCAGGGCAGGAGCAGAGACAAGCTGAGCATCCTAGCCTGGCTACAAGAACCTAGAAGCCAGGAATTTTTCCCCATCGCAAATTGGTGGCATTGGGCGAGGGATGAGGTTCTGTCACCTTGTAGAGGTGCAGTGTTTCCCTAACACTCAATGTGTCTTCACACACATAGGTTAATTAACAGCTTATTCAAGATACTGTGTTGAAATAGGAGCTTTCCCAGCGCTGGGAGCACAGCCCCAGACGTTGGGTCCTAAGAGCAAGAAGTAGCAGCAGGCTGGGTCCAACACACACTGCACACCTACCTGCGAATGATAGATAAGATCTCAGGCACCCTTCCTCCCCAAGCACTGCATTGCACCACATTTTGGCCCAAACAGAAGCTCTACCTCACGCATCCAGAGGCTGAAGGGCCGTTGCCAGGAGTCCTTCTTCTCCAGGTGTAGGTAAGCATTGAAGAGGATCAGGTAGATGTAGCGCTCCAGGTACTGCAGGCTCCGCAGCCGCAGCAGCCGCCGCTCCTGCTCATCCTTGCCTGACCGCCCCTGCAAGCACAAGGAAGGACAAGAATCTACTTGGCAGCCCAAGCTCTCATAGTGCTGTGGCTTGCAGCATACAAAAAGCCTCCCTTTGAGTCCTGCAACCCTCAGAAATAGAGGAGGTGTTACTAAACACGTGCCTGTGCCCAGCATCCTGCCTCTCTCCCCTTGCAAGCCATTCCCTACAGGTTTTGGAAACAAGTGTTCCCATCCTTGAAAACCATGCTTTGCTATTTTTCCTTCCCCAGCTGATGGTATTGCTATGAGTATGGCTCTAAATGTGATCAGTTCTGCACTGGGAAAGATGTCAGCCCCAGGTGTATGCATGGGTACTTGCACAGAGCAGATCCTGACAAGAACTTGGCTTCATGTTTGGTTAGAAAAGGTGGGAAACAGGCAGGAAACAACTGCATTAAAGACAACAACAATTGAGTAACATGACCCCACAGAAATGCCCACTAAACCAAGGAACCTAATGGATGTCATCATCTTGATGGATCATATGAACATGCAAGTCTTGTTGGATCTCTCTGCTGTAGCTGAGACTGAAGGAATCAGCTGGCTGTTGCTGCCAGCTTCTGCAGAAGCTCCCATCAAGGAAGCCTCCCCAAACAACACATCCTCCAGAAGCGGAAGGAAGGCATCAATCTATCTTTTCCTCCCAGTTTAGGATGGGAAGGAGTAGGAAAGAATATGAGCTGAGCACCAGAGCACATTTTCCTCCCATCCTGCTTGTCCTGACCCTGCAAAGTGTCCCTTGCAAGGCACCAAACGCTGCTCCCTTCAACCCAAGACTGAACAAAGAGCAGGATGCAACAAAAACCTGCCCACAGTGGGGCTACGTACACCTGGAAGCGCACACCTTTCTTCCAGTTTGCGCCTGCCAGTCAAAGCAGAGATGTCCCCATGGAGCTCGCCCATCCTGGGCTCAGATTTTGGGGAAAGAAAAAAAAAAAACTGCATTAAAAAATTTGCACACAACGCCTCCAAGGCAGTGATAAAAGGCTCTTCCTAAGGCAAGGGGAACAGGGCAGCGGATGACTCCCTGCTTATCTTCCTTCCCCACCAGGCCATCAGGGCAGACTGGATACAGCTGGCTGGGAAACAGGATATGGCCAAGGAACACCCATGCACTGCTCCTCACTGCCAAGTGCCAGCAAGGGCCACGAGGAGGTCGCGGGAACGGGCGGGCAGCCGCCTTCCAAAAAATAATAATGCTAATGAATGGGAGCAGCTCACACCATCATCACAGCTCTGCAAAGGCAAGGCTGCCAAGAAGCGCATGGCTCAGCCAGCTGCGACGCCCGGGTGTTCCTCCTCCTTGAGTCGGAGGAGCCAGAAGGAATGGAAGGAGAACAGGACAGAGCAGCCCTGCCCTCTGCCGGCTGCAGCAGGAGGGATGGGATGCAGGATTCAGCACAGCAAGGGATGCATGGGATGCTGAGCTTATTTGGACCACCACGACCCTCACGCCCCCATTGCTTTGGGTAAGGGACCACAATGAGTAGTAAATCCATCATCAACTTAATCTTCTGCTTTTTGCTCCTCACCCCATAACCAGTTGTGGTGAACAGAGCATGTGAGAGCTGTCAGGCTTTACTGTATTTTCCTGTTTTGATGGGGAAAAAAAAACAAACAAAAAAAAATCATGAAGGAACCCCAAAGCCACCACCCAAGGAACCCTGGTGACATGCCACATAGCTTCGGTGTGAAGTCCCACCCCTATCCATGATGTGGCTGCCCTATTTAGGTTCTGGTGGTTCAGCTGTATGGCAGAAAAGGGCATTGCTCACCTGCCGGTAGGTGCAGATGATGATTTCTCGGAGGTGGTAATGCATGGGTGTCATGGTCTCACTGACCGTGTCCAGGGCCATATCCACCTCCTTCTTCATCCGGTGACCGTCAGGCAGGAGTTGGACCACCTTCATCACTACCTAGAACACAGGTAGAGCAGGAGGAGCTTCACCTGCTGCTCTCAACCCAACCACTCCATGCCCATGCTCAACCCTCAAGACCAGGAAAGGACCATTCTCCCCCGAGCACATCTCAGGACTTTGGAGACTCTACAGCATGGGGCTACATTGGCTGCAGGACTCACCTCGAACTCCCCTTTAGTGTACTTGGCATCAGGCACACTCACAATCTCCTCATCACTCATCTCAGGGATGCCCTGCAGGAGTCAGAGAAGGACAGAGTGTTACACACTTGGCACATCTGAAATTTTACCCATCTACTCTGCAAGAGAACTACATCTCTCCCACCATTAACCCTTCATTCCTGCAGAGCCTCCCACCACTCCACAGGAACATGACAACATCTCCACTCCTTCTACAGTTCCTTTGTGGCTACACTGAGGCAACAAAAAGAGGAACTGTCCCTACAGCCCCCACCAGCTGGAAGCACTGGTACCCACATTGAAGTGCCAGAGCGTGAGGACAGCGATGACCATGGCTGTAGTGGTCCTGCCCCGGCCACTGGCACAGTTGAACACAAAGGCTGTCCGTGAGTCCTCAGCCAGAGCACTCTTCATCGCCTCCAGCAGCCGGTCAAAATCCTGTGAGAACAACACCAAGGGTTTTAAGGAGGGTGGTCACACCATAAAAAACAAACAAACAAACACAAAGGCAGCTTGAGGATGTGGTGGCAGTGCTGCTACCTGCTCCCTGGGAGCACAGAAGTCAGGGACTGGGATGCGCCGGTAGGTCAGGCCCTGGAAGGTGCTCTTGTGCTGGTTGAAGATTTCCTGCGTGGTCAGACAGCTCTTGAACATCTTCATCTGCTTCTCTGCTTCCAGGTAGACCTCCAGCCACTTCTGTGACTTCAGCAGGTCACCCTTCAGCGTGGACTCAAGTTTCTGCAAAGAACAGAGAAAACCTCACCACCAGAACTATCAAACCTACTCCTCTTCCACCCATTTCCCTTGGTTTTTTTTTTTTTTTTTTAATTTTATTTTTTATTTTTTATTTTTTATTTTTTATTTTGTTTTGGGTTTTTTTGTTTGTTTGTTTTGTTTTCTTTCCCCAGTATTTTTATGTTCTAAGATACAGCCTGACACAGACCCACACTCCAGGTTCTGGCCACCATTTCCCTCCAGGGACCTTTAGCACTGCCCTGCCCAAGACTCCAGAGAGCTTCTCCATGCAGCCAAGATGCTGCTGGCAGCAAAATCCCCTTCACCATCCAAACAAACAAAAATCAAACCAATAGCTATGGTGGGTGAGGGGCTAAGACTCATTTCCCAGGGACATCTCCCTCATGAGGGCTCAGCAGAGTGGGAGATGCCTTTTCCTCATAAGGGACATGATCTACACCTCTGTCCTACATCCAGTTATCTGCAGAAAGCTCACAGGAATGTAATGCAAGGTCAAATTTAGCTGAAATGGGCTATAGGGTAAAATTCTAGAGCAAAGAGACATGACAGAGGGAAGGAGGAGGCCTGAATCACCAGCCATGAACACACTGAGGAGCAGATTTCACACAAGCCCAGTGTGAAACCTTCGTGCATCCTTCCCTTGGCACTATTTGGGGCAAAGCCCCTGTGCTTCTGGTGATCTCCAGCAAAGATGCTCATATGCAAAGAGGAGATGCCTTCAACAAGCATTGCACCCAGAATGCATTACCCCAAGGCAGGACCAGGCACACCAAGGTGCACCCCAAAGCCCAGGCTCACCTCCAGCTGTTCAGGTGTGGATACCGGCACAGGGATGAGCTGGTCGAGGCTTCCTGGCTCCCTGAGTGTGTAGATTTGCTCATTCCCCTCCAGCACCACCTCTTCCCGCAGGCTGACCCACAAGATGTGCGAGTGCTTTCTCTTTGCATCTGTCAGGTACCGCAGGACGCTGCCAAGGGCCTGGAGGGAGGGGTAGCCAAGGTGAGGGGGTGGCACCCAAAGGGGTGGCCCTGCCTGCCACAAGGCACCTGCCTCTCACCTTGGAGCTGGGCTGTGCTGTCCCATAGACGGGCATCTTAGGCACTCGTCGGAAATTGGCTACGCTCATCTCCTTCACAGTGCTCAGCACATCTGGACAGAAGCGCTCATCCACCACCTGTGGCAGAACAGACAGGGCTGGGCACGTGGTGTGCACAAAGCATCACTAGGAACACACCCGTCCTGGCGGAAGAGATGGACCTGGAGGCCCAAGAATCAACCCCTTGCTTCTCCCACCCCACCAAACCTCCTTGAGGTTGAGCATCCCAAGACCACCCCCAGCAGACAACCAGCCCTGTCCCTACACCCAGGCAAGGCACTCACCAACACTCGCATCCCCTTGGTGATGAGGTCCCCGGAGACGGTAAGCTCAGAGGAGTTCATACTCGCCTGCAGCCGGTAGAGCTCAGGGTGCCGGCACATCCACCTGCTGAAGCTGAGGGCAAAGCCCAGGGGGTACTGCCGGCGGGGGGCCGGGGAGGGGGCACGCCATCAGCCTGGGCTCACCCCTCCCTCCCCCCACATGCTTCCAAAACTAACAATGGTGATGCCATCCTCCTCCCTTCAGCTTGAGACATCGCCCTGCCCTCCCACCACCCAGCCAGGAGACGTGGCCTTTACCTGCTCGTGAAGGTAGTAATTGAAGGCAATCAGGTAGAAATAGCGTTCAAGGCTCTGCAGAGTCCTCTGAAGGAAATATTCTTTGGTGCTGTTCCCCTAAAAGCAAACAACACACCGGGCATTCATCACATCCATAGCGGACCACAGGGCAGGAGCAGCTCCTGCTGGAGCCCTGGGACACTGGGCAGGAGAGCACCACATGCCTGCTGAAGAGGAGATAAGCAAGGAGCAAGCTGGCCCGAGGCAGTTTTTAAGTACTGTTTTGGGGGAAAGGAAGCAGAAATGCCATTTAAGTCCCTGGCCTTAAGAAGGTTTTTAGCATTTTCACACCAACTTCACCAAGCTGCTTCCAAATGAGGATGGCAGTGAAAAAAAACCACAGAACTGTATCTGGAATAGTATTTGGTGCCTTTTTCTTTTTTAATTTATATCTTTAAGTGAAACATTTCAATATTTTTCCATATTAAGAGATGCTTAGAGCTATAAATTTTTACTTCAGATCAAACAAAGCCTTTCCTTTCACCCAAGGACGCGCCGGGAGCAGGTCCAACATGATACAGCCTGCCTGCCTGCCTGTCCAGGAGATACAATGTCCAGATGCCACTGGGAGAGCAAGACCCAAACAGAGGGGTTTGATTAACACAAGATGCCAACACTGTCTTGGACACCACTATGGCCTCCAGGTGTGATGCTCCAGCCATCAGGCTTCCGTAAGAGCCATGGGGTTTCCCCAGAAACGAGTGGGCTTTCCCCTGGGGATGCAAGCTCAAAACCTCAGGACAAGCTGAAGAGCACCCAACTCTACACGAGGTTCTCGCAAAGCCTCTTTGGAGACTGTGGTCCGTGAGACAAACCCCAGGGGGACACACATAACCTGCCCCTACTGCCTACAAGCAAAAACCCCATCCTGGACATGATAGAAACCCTGTTAAGACATGCATTGCAGAAGATCCTTTCCTGCATCGCAGGCAGACTTGGCAAGCAGGCTTTGCGTGCTGCCAACGCAATGGCATTGAGTCATAAATATTTACTTGTGATCCACAAGACAAATCCGGCCTGCTGTCATTTATCAAGAGGCAGAACAGTACATTGGCTTCCAAAACTCACAACAGAACCCAGGAGCATGGAGTCACACCAGGGTCAGGCCAGGAAGGGCCAGGCACTGCAGGGATGGGACTGAGCATGCCACCCAAGACCCTGCATCACATCACTGTGCCATCACTGCAGCAGTTCAAACTCCTTTCCCCCCCACCCAACTCTCCGTGCCCGCAGAGTCCTTTCCTCTCCTTCTCTCCCCCCACCCACATCACCCAGCACATTTTCCTGGCCCCTCGCCATTGTTTAAACGTGCTCTTGCTACGTGCAGACTTCAAATAAACACTCCTCTGGGCTAATTTACAGCAATCCCCAGCCATTTGTTTTCCACTGTCAAAGACGACACAGAGCAGCCCTCCCCAGTGTGAATGGAGGGTCAGCCAGATCACCCTTTGCCCTCAAAGTGCCCAAGAAAGGCACCCATGGGTGCCCCTACATCTCTGTCCACACTTGGCCCCCTAGCCAAGAGTCTCCATGCTGCACACAACAGCATGTGCCACCACATGAAGCAGCACTAAGCAGATGCAGACCTGCCCTAGGAAATAAACAGGGAAGGATGGAATTTGGGGTTCCTCACTGTAGTGGCATGTTCGTCACACCCCAATGGAAAAATTCATCCCCAGAAAGGCTGGAAAGGGAGTAAAAAGTGGACTCAGATCTGGGATTCAAGTCTTCTCAGTTAGCCAAAAGAAGACTGACTGGAAAAGCCTGAAGAGATGCTGGATCCCAAACCACTCATTCTGCAGTTTTAAGGATAGCAAAAAATAAAGACACAGGGTATTATCTGTCTCAAAGGCATCTGTCAGAATCAGAGACACTGCTCAAAAAAAGAAGTCAGGTTTCCTTGAAGCTCCAGCCTGCTCAATTTCATGGCTCTTAAATAGGAAAAACCTTCACAACCTTCCAGGTTCACACACCCCTGGGAAGCTTCCAGAGCACAGGAAGTTTTGGATTTTTATAATTTACATTCTTCCTATCTGCTCATGAAAACATTTCTATAAATTACCATGCACAGAGCAGGGTTATAAAGGCAGCTGAGCAATCCTCTAATTAATGGCTCACTAAAAGGGGTCCTGACTGATGCTCCATGGCCCAGTTTTGGAGATGAGGATGTCACCCTAGCAGCAGTACCTGGATCTGGTAGTCTTCTCCAATCCCTTCCAGCTTCTTCTTGGACTCATAGATAGCTTCCTTCATGTCGTGCATCTCTGAGCAGGAGGCAATCACACTGTCCACCTTGAGCAGGGAGAGCCAGTGAGCAGAGGAAGCCCTCCTTGCCCATCCTGAGGTCAGCATGGGTTTGGCAGACTCCCCCCACTTACCTCCTCCACCATCTGTTGCCCTTTGGGTACCATCTCAATGAAGCTCTGGATGACCCGAAACCTGGCCCTTGGAGTCGTTTTGGCTGGATGCGGCGGGCTGCCCATGGAGAAAGGAGAAAAAGGCCATTAAACCAATGAGCACCATGGCCATCCTGGCCACCCTGGGACTGTCTCGCTTACTCAGGCTTTGGTGCTGCTCCCCGGTGATGGTAGAGGATAAGGGTGCCCAAGGCCATGCCCAAGTTGGTCCTGCCCACACCAGTCTGGCAGCTGAAGAGCAGTGCTGGCGGGGGGTAGCTGGGATCCCGCAGCAGCAGGCCAGGGCTCTCCTAGGAAGAGACAGGGATGGATGGTGCCCAGAGGCAGCAAGGAGAGCACAGGCATGGACATCTCCTCATGGTGACCAGGCTGATGTACAGCCCCATCAGTGATGATCCCTTCTTCCATGAATTAACGATGGGATCACCATTAGTTCCACTACCCATCCCCAGTCTTCCACACCAGGCCTGCCACCAAAAGCATTTGCATCAAACCCAGACCATTTCTCCCAAACAGGAATTCCCTGCAGGAATGCCAGGCGGCATGAGAAATGGTCACCTCCAGCAAGGACAAGCAGGGCACAATCACACGTACAAGCTCCCCATTATACAAAGCCAAAAAGGGAAGAAGGTAGACTCAGGGACCCCTCCAGCTGGTGCTTCCCCAGGCAGGCTACCTTGCACAGAAAGAACTTCTGTTTTATTTTAGAAGAGGGAAGACTATGGTGACACCAAGCCTGCACATTGGTTTGGTGACTGTCGTATATGAAGGGCTTGCAAAATAAAGTCTACCCAAAATTAATCAGCCTAAACAAGGAGCTACCAAGGCCAGGCTGGATGGGGCTGCGAGCAACTTGGTCTAGTGGGAGGGTCCTACAGCAGGGAGACTGGAATTTAGAGGTCCCCTCCAACCCAAACCATTCTATGATTCCAGGAGCATCTCCAGCACTCTGCCAGGGGTGGAGACGGCTCCTTTACTCAAGTGCAGAAGTAACCTTCGCACCAGTCCCAGAAAGCTGAGGAAGCAAATCCCACCCCAAAATCCCCATGGTTTTGCTTGGCTCACCCTAAGAAAACAGATGAAAGCATCAAACTGCTCCTCCAGAGGGGCCCCATCCACGGGCAGGGGCAGGCGGTGGTAGCGGTAGGTGGGCTGGAGGAAGATGGGCCGGCGATACACCTCCTCTGTCACATGGATGTCTTCCTCACCCTGCACCCGCACAGTGTGCGGCTCGTCCCGAAAGCGCTCAATGTCATTGTAGACATAGTAGACTCCTTCGCTCAGCTGTGCAAAGTCATGGATCTAGTGGAGATGGAGATTGCCATCAACGCCTGTGAGCCTGGTGGATGCTCATGGAGGCCCCATGCAGCATCTGTCTGCTTCAAACCCCTCCATGAGACATCCAAAGGTGGGGAATAGGCCCAATCCCCACCTCATTGCTTCTGATTTTATGCTTTCTTGGACACCCAAGGATACAGAGCTGCACGCTAGAAGATGGAGAACCCTATCAAGGCCCCAGCATCTCCCCCAGCCCATGGGGATCACCTCTTTGCGGATGGTGAGCTCCAGGTCTTCCACACGCAGCCTCCTCTGCAAACTGTGGAGGTTCTCATGGAGGTTCTCCTTGCCCCGTGGTGTGTAGGGCACAAAGTCACTCTCCACCCGCAAGAACAGCACGGGTTCCTCACGCACGCAGAAGACGACACACTCCTGGAAAGACGGCCACAGATGAGGGATACAGGGGATGACACCACACATGCAGCAGGGGAAAAGGCTTCCCAAAACTTTGTGCCAACCTTCTCCACAGACCAGCCAGCAGCTCTGGAGACGGAGCATTTCGGCCACTCTCCCCACAGATATCCCCTCGACTTCCACAACAATCTACAGATCCTCTCCCACAAACAAGAGCAGAAGCGCCCAGCTTTAAGGCCACGCTTGCTCCCGCTGCACCAACCTTGTGGCCTTCTCTCTGCAGCTTCTGCAGCACAAGCTTGAAGCCATTGAGGCTGGGCTGACCCATACCAAACACCGCATAGCCTCCTTTGGCTTGCCGGAAATTCGGAGCACCACTGGTGCTGGTAGTGTTCAAGACATCCAACTTGCTGTACACATCTCTGACCATGAAATATTTCCCCTGCAGGATAAGAAAGAAGATGGAACAGGATCCGAGCACAGGAAGCATGCGGGAGCAATGAGCAGCAATGCCAACCTGCACCAGGTAGTGCTCCAGTGTGGTCTCACAGATGCGTCCCACCGTGTAGTTGGCCTTCAGCAGGTCATCATGGATCTGGAACTCCTCCCTGCAGTTATACCTGGAGGAACCACATGCAGAAGGAGGTAAGGTTACCCAAAAACAAACAAGTAGGGTTTTCTTTTTGCCAAAAGCATGGAGAGACAGAGGAGCATGCAACAAAGGATAGAGAGGGTTTGAAATGAACCAAGAAAGGATAGTGTTCAATCTGGAGACAGCAAGAAGGGCTTGCAGGTAGCTGCTGGGACTCACGTGATGACCACTGGTGCCACTTTGTTGGTGATGATGGACTTGGCCTTGCTATTGTGCAGCCCGAGGGTCTGGAACGAGTGGATGCTCAGGGAGCGCTGGTCCTCCATGGTGCCAATGCCGTGCACACTCTCAAAGGCAGAGGCTGAGACCGTCTGCTGAGCCGTGCTGGCGGTCGTGCCCATCATCCACAGGCTGCACAGGGACAGAAAAACAGGGTTGAGGGGAGGGAGGGAGAATGGTAAATGGAGAGGAATTTTTTCAGCTGCCCCGCACGGCAAGGGGAGGCCCATTTCCGAAGAAACACGAACCCTGCCCTTCCCGTGCTCTCCAATTTCCTTCCCGCTCTCCTTATGGGCTTTCTTCCCCCCTTGTCCTCCAGGCAGGGTCCAGCCCCACCGTGGCTGAATTCCCAGCACGGCTTCTCTGCCATCAGGGCTGGGAAGAAGAGAAAAGGAGAAACCCTGGAGCCAGCCCCCAAAATGTGATGAGTCAGCAGATGGCACTGCAGAGTGACCTGCGGCTTCCCGTCCCGGCAGGACAGCCATTAGCCTCCTGTGCCCCAGCGCACTCCGCGAGCATGGAAAATGCTTGAAGAGCAGAGAAATATAGCTAAGTGCTCCAGCTCTCCGTGATTTCCTCCCAGGCTCATTCCCAGCACGCTGCATTTGTTGTTGCACACCGGGATCGCAGCTGGCTTTCCTGTGCACATATAGAGGCACATACATGTGCACGCCAACATGTGTGCTCATGCATGCACATCCTCAAGCGTGAACATGCATGTGCCTGCAGACATGTGCCTGCATGCATACAGAGGACTCCAAAGGGGAGCAGAGGACAGCCAGGAGCATCCCGCCACGCTCGGCCGCCCCAGGACAATGCTGTGCCTGTTCTTCCTGTTAAGCCCAGGAAGAAAAAGGCGCTTTTCTTGCTTCTGTAGCAAACGCACAGCACTGGGGCTCGGCTGCATGGACACAAATGTGCTGGGAGCTGTGTACTGATGTGTAACCGGTACCCCAACCCACAGATGCTTCTGCAGTCTGCTCGGCTGCCTTGCAAACAGGCTTTGTCACCAAGACCGGATTTTTGGCCACCTTGTAAAAAGCCATTTCTTTCCTCTAAACCAAAATAAATAAATCCCATTGCTTGTTTGCTACTTGCAAACCATACAGCCCTTCTCCACCAAAAGAAGAGCAGCGCTCCCACTCACTCTGACCTCGCCCCACTGTTTCCCACCGTGTCAGCCCCCACATATGGGTCCAACCCCCACGGCACGGGGAGCTGGCAGGGGCCCAAGGCCAGCACTAACAATAGCCTAAATATAGCGGGTGGGCCCAGCTGCAGGATGCATCTGCCACGGTGGGAGGAAGCGTGCACTTGCCCTGGCTGCCTCATTGTCAGCGGGAAGAGCGAGGACAAACAAACCACTGCTGCACCCCCAGCACTGCACTTCAGTTATGTATTTTAAAATATAGAGAGATTTTTTAATGTTTTTGGCAGGGAAGCACCTCACTGATCCTGGGCGTCCCACCCAGGTTTTACACTGTCTACAGCGGAACTAGTGCCACGGCCACTCGTCCTCTGTGAGCATAATACGGCCTCTCCCTGGGAGAAACCCCCAAATTACACCCTTCCCTGCAAGCTGCTCGTTTACAGCTTCCTAAATTAGGACGGCTATGCCATTACCAAAGGCACCGCACTGCTGGGGGAAAGCTTTGTGCCAAGCAGGCCATGGCCCTGAATTGCCCCAAAACCGGGGATTTAACCCCAAAATGGGAAACGTGCGGTGCTCTCCGGAGGGTCGTGGGGGTGGGCAGGAAGCACCGCCGGATGGAGCGGGGAGCACGCGGCATCACCGGAGGGAGGAAGTGATGGAGCGTGGTGCTGCCCCTGCTCTCTCATCCCTTTCTCCAAAAGCAAAAATACCTTGGGGGGGGGGGGGCGAAAAAAAAAAAAAAAAAAAACACACAAAAAAACAAAAAACAAAAAACGAAGAGATGGGACAGCACACCCTCTCCGATGCAGGGGGGAGCAAGCTGGATTTAGAGCGGTCAGTAAGAAAGCACCGGGAGGCACACTGAGTGGCTTAAAATACGTGTTTAAAAGTTGGAAAATGGGAAGGAATCAAGGCCATGCTCCTTTCGGGTTGCAAACTGGAGCTGAGCCCGATGACCGTAAGGGTCCCTTCCTACGGGGTCCCCCCGCAGCAGACTGCGCCGGAAGGAAGCGGCTCGCTTCAGCGCAAAGAAAGCTCAAAGAAAAGGTGAGAAATACCACCGCGGGGCGTCGGAAACGCAGCGCTCGCCCGGAGCTGCTCGGCTCCCAAACCCACCGAAACTAGCCAAGCCCACAGCGCTTCGCAGCGGTTCCCAGAAAGCTCGGAGCGGCACCCCGCGGGATAGCGACGCGAGAGCAGTCCCGCAGCATTGCAGGACGTGGCCAGGACTCTCGCCCCGTCGTTTTGCCCCGCGCACGGCGAGGGCAGCACGGGGCTCCCGGCCTGCGGTTCCCCCGGGAGAGCGACCGAGGGATGCAGACCCGAGCATCCCCGCAGCCCCCCCGCCCCGCCCTCCCAGCGCGGTACCTGGTGGCTCCGTGCGGCTCAGCGCTGCCGCGGGCGGCTCCGGGCCGGCCCCATCGGGGCTGCGGGGCCCGGGCTGGCGGAGCAGCCCCACGGCCGCCCACCACCTGCGTCCGCGCGTCCCTCCGGCCGTCGGTCCGGGTGCGGGGCGGGGCGGCGGGACGGGTTTAAGCGGCCCCGCTGCGGTCCGGCTCCGCCCGCTGCCGCCCGGCTCCGCCCGCATCCCGCCGTGGCACCGCCCCGCTCCCGAGGGCTGAGCCTGCGGCTGGGGGCGGGTCTCACGCCGCGGCCCCCAGGACCCCACGGAGCGTTCAGCCAGCAGCCCTTGGGGTCGGCACCTTTCCACTTTGGGACCCCACAGCTTACTGCAGCCCCTCGGGGTCTCCCTAGCACTTTGCCAGGGATCCAACCCGTTTCTCCTCGAGGTATCCCCCAGAGTGTAGGAGCACCCAGGCCCATTAGGGACCATTACCACACAGCAGTCCCTCGGTCACAGTTCCCATCCCTTGGGGATGCCCTGATACATTGTCCCCCTATCACCCTACAGCCTCCTGCACATTCATTGGATTGAATTAGAGAGTCATAAAGGTCGGAAAAGACCTCAGATCACTCGCTCCTACTGAGCCACATCCCCATTCCCTCTCCCCAGGCACCCACCACCTCCTGCACCCATCCCACTCCAGCATCACAGAGCCACCCAGCTGGCACATGTCCTCCCGGATGCCCCAGAACTGAGCTGTACATTTGTTTGTCCTTCCTCTGTAACCAGACAATCCACCTGAAGCACATCGGCCCCACAGGGAGGACTCAGGAGCCTTCCCCATTAGAGACCTGAAATGCCCCGGCCGTGCAGCAGGCACCGACAGCACAGTGCATAAATATTTACAGAAGCCCAAGAGGCTGAGGGAAAAGGGAGAAGGAGCTGTCGGTGTCACCAGGAAGGAGGGAAAGGAATGTAAACGCAGCCCGGAGGCAGCCCGAAAATGGTAAAGGCTGGGGAGCAGGGTGTGCCAGCAGCCCCAACACTGTGGAGCACTGAGGGCTTCCCCTGCCTGCGGGAGCCTGAGCTTTGTGGGCCCCAGCAACTCAGGTTTGCAGTCTGGCCTCTGCTCTGCAGCAGACTTCAGGCATCAGTTGGTAATGTGAACCCACAGTGATGCCATGCCCTGATGCTAAATGCATCTTCACGCTGAGCTTGGGGCAAAAATGCATGTCACACCAGCTTGTGGAATGGCTGGGAATTTGCAGTTTACTCAAGTCACACTGCTACGGGGCACTGCTGCAAACCTCTGGGTGAGATGGGGAACCCCAAAGCACCCCTCGCTCTCCTAAAGTTCAGAAAAGGAGGTGAAAAAGTGCATTGGCAGGTATCTGCCCTCTTTCCCTGCTCCAGGAAACCTTTTATCCTCCTCCAACGAGCTTTCCTTTCCTTGGCTGAACAGGGAGCCATTGAAGGCCTCTGAAGCACCTTTCCACCACGTCTGTTCCAGCGTTACACCTGGTTTTGGAAGCCACCATCAGAAAAAGCACATTTTGGATCCTTCTGGAACAGCTTTTTGACACAGCGCCTCGTGGTCATGCCATCTGCCGGGATGTCCCCAGCGGGACTTTCCTTGGTAGCTCTCCAGCTACACATCCAGGAACCTCCATGCCCCGCAGATGCTTCTGCCCTGCAAACATCCTGCTTTAGAAGAGCAATCACCACGTGGATAAATGGGGCTAAGGCCAAAGAAACCCCACACGTGTCACTGTCGTAGAACCAAGATCTTTATTGACCTCACTGTAACAGCAACCACCGGTGGGAGCTCTCCTCCTCCCGTGCAGGAGACAGGAAAACAAAAAAACCCACCGACAACCCTGAACAGCAGAGAAGCGGCCCCAAGACGCCGGGCACTCCTTGCTTTTCAGCCAGAATCCCGTTTAAAACAAAACAAAAAGAGAAAAATAATCAGTAGAAAGTCGTAGAAACGTCGTAGAAAGCTGTAGAAAGTTCGCTTTGTCCTTGATTGTTTTTTTTCTTGGCTCGCAGAGCAGCTGTCCCACAAGGCACCGCGTGGCTGATGGCCATCACCTTCCCCACGCTACACTGCGTCCCCCGGCTGCTCCGGGGCCGTGCCTGACCTCCGAGGGCCAGCATTTTAAGGAAAAATATATTTCTCTCTATATAACATATATATCTGTGTGTGTGTCACAAGCACTCAGCCGCACGCGCATCGTACTTCCACTCGCACTCGCTTGCTCACAGCGTCCCAAAAGCACCTGGCGATGAAGCCCACCCCAAACCCCATGGCACAGATTGGGGTTTGAGGGAAGAGACGCTGCCGCTCAGCCTTCCCTTCTCCCCGTATCGTGGTCGTCCCTCTTTTTAGTACCAAAAAGTGGAAAACTGAGGGCTTTGTGCCACGTGTGGCCCCTTAGAAATTGGGAGCCCAGGTGCCAGAGGGGACTAATCTGGACCCGAGAGTTTGCACTGCACAGAGGTGCCGGCGCCTTCCCAGTGCCGTGGCTGCTGAAACTTCCCAGGGAAGGCCCAGGATGGGAGCCCAGCAGGCAGCACCTCCATTTCCAGGCACTGTTCCTTAAGACCAGTTAAGAGAAGGGGATGGAGCGGGGCGATGCGGCAAAAGACCCAAACTAAACGGGAGGGAAAAAACAAACAAAAAAACAACAACGGACCAATAAACGGGGCAATGGCGAAGGAGAGCAGCGGACGCCTGGTCAGATGTCCATCTCGAACTGCGCGTCGTCCCCTGCAAGAGACACCAAGAGAGGCACGTGGGCATCCCACGGCTCGGGGACGCCCGGGAGGGGCCGCCCGCTTACCGGCCGCTGGCTTGCCGTCCTGACTGCTGGGGCTGGTGGGCTCGGCCTTGGGCTCGTCGCCGGCCCCGGGGCTGGTGACGCCGGGGATGTCGGGCAGCTGGCACGGCGGGGTCTGCGCCATGGGCGAGTTGCGGCGCTCCAGCAGGAACTTACGGTCGTAGATGATGCGGGTGCCTGCGGCGGGAGGGACGGGGGACGCGTCCGTGTCTCCTGGGCGCTCTCCCCCGCGGCGTGCCGCCCTTAGGGACCCCCGCCGACCCCGAACCCCTCCGCCCGCAGCCTCACCCCCTCCGGGTGGCACGGCCTAGCCTCCCTCCGGGGCCCAGCCGCGGGGAGCGCTGAAATCCGGGGCGCAGTTTAGGGCTTCACGCTCTTACCTCCCGGCGTGGTGGAGAAGAGCGTGCCGCCGGGCGTGGTGCAGCAGCCGGGCGGCAGCGAAGCGGCGTCTCCGTGCGGCGCGGGGCGGGCAGGGATGGCGCGGCTCTGGCTGTGCTGGCGGCCGCCCGCCGACGCCATGGCCCCGCGCTATTGTCCCCGCGGGGCGGGGCCGCGCCATCCCCGCCCGCCGCCACACGTGGTCCAGCGGGGAGGAGGGCTCCCGGCTCCCGGCTCTCGCGCGGGAGACCCGGGTTCGGCTCCCGGCGCGGGGAGCGGAGCCACGTGGCTCGGTCCGCACGGTTTTATCTCGGACGGGAGGCCGCCGGAGAGCCCTCGCCCTCCCCGCCGCCCCACGCGAAGCTCCGCTCCCGCGGAGCCCCGCGGATCCCGCGGATCGCACCCCCCCGCCCGCCCCGGCAGAGCACATGTCCCAGCGCTTTATTTTTAGCAGCGGGGAACGCCGCCTCCGTCTCGCCCGCGGTGTCCCCCCCCGGCCGCCCCCATGCAGAGAAGGATGGGCGAGGCGGTGGCCCGCGTGGCCAGGAGGGTGAACGAGACGGTGGAGAGCCAAGGCGACACGCTCGGTAAGGCCGCAGCCCCGGCGGGGTGCCGCGCCGCTCCGTCCCCGCACCACGCCGGGGTGCGGCGGGGCCCCGCCGTGCAGGAGGGCCGCGTGTTTGGCAGCCTGGGGCTGGGCGCTGTGCAGCTGCCCCCGCCGCTCACCCGCCTGTCCCCGCAGACCTGGCCGACTGTAAGCTGGTGGCTTTCCCCGCCGGCATCTACAAGGCGGTGCGCAGCGTCACGCAGGGCATCCACCGCATCTCGCTGGCTAACAACGAGCTGAAGGCTCTCGGCGCACGCTTCGCCATCACCTTCAGCCAGCTGCGAGGTAAGCGCGGGCCAGACTGCCGTCACAGGACCGCTGAGGTTGGGAAAGCCTTCTCAGCTCACCCAGCCCACCGCCCACATCCCTCAGTGCCACATCCCACGGCTCTGGAACGCAGTTGGTGGAGGGCAGCCGGCCCACGACATGGGAGTTGGAGTGCAGTGATCTTTAAGATCCAAGCCAAGCCATCCTATGATTCTATGACACTCCCCAGCACCTCGGGGTCTTTTGTGTAGTGAGGAGACAGGCTGTCAGCACACCAGCCTAGAGCAGATCTGTGTTACATACAGCTCCGCACAGCAGCCCTGGCTGCTGGAGGAGTCCCCCGCCGGGAGCTTTGCTGCAGAGAATGGAGGATCAGCTTTGTTCCCCTTCCAGAACTCAACCTGGAGGGCAACCTCCTGCACCGCCTGCCCCAGGAGCTGGGCTCCCTGCTGCACCTGCGCACCATCAACCTCGCCCACAACAAGTTCCGGCACTTCCCTGAGCCCCTGGCGGCTGCCCCTGCACTGGAGAGCATCAACCTGGAAGGGAATGAGATCACAGGTGAGAGGGAGGGGACTGGCGAGGAAAAGTGGTGGATGTAACCATCTCACCACCCCTCGGGGCTCCTCCATTTAATGGCTAATGGATGTATGGTCCACTGGGTTACTGTAGAGCCTCCAAAGGCTGAGCTTTTTGTATGATTTATGAGCTTTTTTTTTACATTTACCTCTTCTTCACTGTGCTCAACAGCAGAGTTGAGAACCCATTAGCATGAGCTTAGCCAGCACACATCTTCGTTCTCCTTGATGGCCATGCAAGCTTTGAGCCCTCTGCTTGCTGCTATGACTGGTAGAAGACCACCATCATCTCTGTCTTTGGAGATGATGCTGAAGCACCTGAAAGTTCATCCTCATGCTGTTATCTAGCAGCATATCATGTCTTAGTGGTGTGGAGATGAAGGTTTGTCCACCTTTTATGACTCAGGACCCAGGTTGCAACACTCAGCTCCATAACAAACTGAGTATCTTGCTCTGGATAAAAGCATGGTAGCCTACAGAAGGTGATGGAGGTTGATTGGTGGCGGCTTTGCACACCAGTTTGTGGTGCTGCCATCCCAACCACACGTAGTTCCTGGTTCTGCCCGTTCCCTTCTGCTGCACTGGAGACAAAACTGCTCTCAGGGCCAAACCAGGTTCAAGATATCTGCTGGAGGGGATCTCAGTCTTCTGGGAGGCGCTGAGCCACAGCTCAAGGCAGCGGGTGATGTTCTCTAGGGAAACAGGAGGATGAGCACATCGATTAGTGCCTGCCTGCAGCCCTAGGCTCCGGAAAGAGCCCTTCAGTGCTGCCAGCCACCCTTTCATCTCAAGGAGCTCTTAACCTGCAGAGTAGTGATGCATATATTAACGTCAGGGCTCTTAACCCTTTCCCTGCTCCTTGCAGTGATACCACAGCATTATTTTTCATGCTAGGGGTGATGCCACCAGGCAGCTGCACACTCCCCGGTTGGACCATCATTGGTTTCCTCCGATGCCTGCTGGTTCCCCAGCAGCCTTTCATCCCAGCGAGCTGGATTTTTTCACTGTTATCATTATATTCTGATCAAAGAAAAATTACCGCTGGCTTTAATTATGGAAGAGGCTTCTTGCTTTCTTTCTTGCTGTGTTTTAATGCCTGTTTTATCCTTTCCACCCATTCTGCTTGGTAAAGCAGGACAAGGAGGGGGAGCAGCTGGCAGCAGGGTGCAGGCAGCTGTAAGCATGGGCACTGCTGCTGCTCCTTGCTGCCCATGCATATTGCCATGAGCAGCACCAGGCTTTGCAGCTTCATTTAACCTGTTCTATTTTTGTTTTTTTGTTGTTGTTGTTGTTTTTTAATAAAAACACCCTCCCCTTCACAAATCCTGTTCCTTTTGTTCCCCCTTGCAGAGGTGCCAACAGAGGCACTGGCCACCATGTCCTCACTGCGGAGCCTCAACCTGCGTGCCAACCCTGTGTGCCCTGCTGTACGCCTTCTCGTCCAGCCCCTGGTCCCCTTTGAGCTGCTGCTGTCACCTGAGGGCAATGTCCCCACTGCCTGACATGACCCTGGTGCCTGGAGGAGTGCCCCCTGGCCCATGAGCTCCCCGTGGCTTCCAGCTGCTGGCATGATGTGCCCAATGCCTGATTAAATGTGTTATGTGCATTGTGTTCGCTGCATTGATGGATTATTGGTTGCCAGCAATGGGCTGGAAGGAGCCCAAGTCCCCACAGAGTCCCCGTGATCAGCACATGTGTACATGCGTTCAGGGTGGTGTCCCAGGGTCTCCCCATAGCTGCAAGGAGGGTGCCAAGGGACTGTGAGGATGTCACGGAGAGGATGCTGGGGGAGCTCTGAACAGGATGCAGGGGGATCACAGCATGGTGCTGCAGGGCATTAGGAGGACCTTTAGCTCCCAGGCACTGGAATGTAGGAGGGAAAGCTTTCCCTGCATCCTCTGCCAGGAGGAAGCATGCTCGGGGGTTCCCCCAAGGAGCCGTGGAATGCCCACGACCACGCAGGGCAGCATGACTTCTGGACTTGCCTTGCCCTACAGACCCAGGTGTGACATAGTGGGGGGGGCAAGGGGATCTGAGCAGCCAGGTGACCACATCTGCAGCGCTGGGGGCGAGCAGAACTGCTCCGGCTCCAGCCTCCAGCCAACTGAGCCGCCTGTGGGTACCCCAGTATCCATGGAGATGGGAGGATGCTTTCCCCCCCTCCCCCCTTTCCTTCGAGCCGCTGCCGCATCCGCAAGCAGTGGTGACGGCGGCACAGGAGCAATGCTCAGCGGCGGGGACCCCCGGCAGGAGGAAACCTCCTTCCCCACCTCCCGATGCAGGCACTGCAGCACCCGGAGCCAAGCAGGGGTGAGTCGCAAAGCAGGGATCCCTTTTCCTCCTTTCATTGCGGTTTTTCCTTCCCCATCGACCCGGGGATGTCCTCACCGCCGAGGAGTGCGAGGAGGACGCATTCCCATCCAGCGCAGAGCCTTTTATTCTCAGCTCTCCTTCCACTTCCCTCTCGGAGCATCCTCTTATTTCTCACCCGGTAACGTTGCAAGGGATTGCAGTCCAGGGTGATAAAGTCAGGCAAAGTTTTGGGCTTAATATAGGTATTAGGAAATGCTGCTGCGGGCTCTGCTGCTGCCCAGTCCAACATTTCCCTTTTCCTGCCTGAAAACTGCAGCCAATGAGCATGCAGGGTGACTCTCCCCCTGCTCAGCAGCCTCCCACATCCCTGCCGGGGACCGGTGCATGGATCTGTTCCCCCAGTAGGTCTGCAGTGGCAAAATGACGTTCCCCCATCCAGCAGGAGCTCTCCTGGCTGCAGGTAATTATAATAATTATGTATAATTAAGGCTGCATGTGGAAGAGTACAGGGGGTCCTCCTACCTGGATACTCCTGCATCTCCTGCATGGTCTGAGCACTGTAGTGCAGTGGGAGGTGGACTTCTCACCGTGCCCTGCTTTCCTTGCATGATCCCTAGGAAAACCCCTGAGAACAAGATTCCTGCCGGCCTTCTTTAACCTATCATCAAAAATTAATTCTGAGCTTTGAGGAACATCCACACCACTGAGCCATCCCACCTGCTGAACTAACCCAGCCCCATGTGCTGGAAGGAGAGACATGGCTGGGACTTCCCACCTCTGAGGGCACCTCTGAGGGAAAAGAAGGGAACCATTGCTTCATTCCCTTCCATCTTCATTTTTCTGCTTTCCCTTCCTTAGACCCCTCCAATGGCAGCTGGGCTAACGCCAGTGAGAGCTACCTCCTGAAGGAAAATTACACCTTCTTGGCATACTACCAGCACTCCTCACCTGTGGCTGTGATGTTTATCCTAGCCTACACCTTCATCTTCCTCATGTGCATGATTGGCAACATCCTGGTGTGCTTCATAGTGGTGAAGAACCGTCAGATGCGGACGGTCACCAACATGTTCATTCTCAACCTTGCCATCAGTGACCTGCTGGTGGGCATCTTCTGCATGCCTACAACCCTGGTGGACAACCTCATCACAGGTGAGCAGGGCATGAGGTGAGACTTGATGGGGAAGGGAAGTGTTGAGAGACACCATCCACTTTCTTCTTGCTCTCCCTAGGAGGCCACTTCCAGAACTCTCTCCCATTTTTTGTGCTGAGTTCAAGGAGGGTGGCAGGTGGGCATTCAGATATATCTGATGGAGGTTCAAAGCCATAAGGCTGCTTTCTATTATATTGAGTGGAACAAGCCACAGCCAGGGCAGAGTATTTATGTATTTATTGCCACATGCAATTTATTAATTGTGGCCCCATGCCCAGGCAAGGCAGGGCATCACATCCTCCTGTTTCCAAGGGGCCACAGGGTCTTTTCCCACTCCACCACGTTTCAAAGGTAAAAAGGGGTTGGGTGGCATTTTGGCTCCATGATATCATCTGTGTCCCAATGCTGTGCCACACCTTAGTAGGGAAAACTAATTAAAGCCCAGCAGATCAAGGACCCAAAGGTCAGTCTCTCTGATAACAGCTGGAGTCCAACAGAAACCTTGCTATACAAGCTTCTGGAAAGTGTAATACACATCTTTTTTTTTTTTTTTTTTTTTTTGGTACTGCTGAAGTCCATGTCTGTATGAATAAGAAGAAAAAAATATAGCTCCCCCTCTTAGGACCAGGATTTACCATCACATGGTGGATGGGGACATCTAGAGGGAGTTGCTGATGGATGTTGATGAGCCAAACGTGTTCAACCTCAGGGGTGATGTGAGGGGAACACGGGGACAGGGACCAGCCCACTATTCCCAACACTCCCTCTGTGTTTGCAGGGTGGCCCTTTGATAATGCCATGTGCAAAATGAGTGGCCTGGTACAGGGCATGTCTGTCTCTGCCTCTGTTTTCACGCTGGTGGCCATCGCGGTGGAGAGGTACGTTGGGATGGGGGGATCCTGACACCTCATCCTGCATGCTGTTTGGGCAACTCCCAATGCATGTAAGACTCCAGTCCCGCCATGGGGCTACCTTCCTTCCTTTGGGGTATCCCATCGTGGACATGGCCCTCTTCCCAAGCTTGGACACCATGCAGCACCACATCCCCACTCTCTTCATCTCCCAGTTTGCTCACAGACATGTGATGATGGTGAACTGGAAACTCAAAGAGCCTCCAGGTCAAAGCTATGCTAATGCACCTGGCTGCCTCCTTGAGGTGTGATAAGGAGGTCCCACCAATCCCACAGGTTTCGCTGCATCGTCCACCCCTTCCGGCAGAAGCTGACGCTGAGGAAAGCCCTGGTGACCATCGCCATCATCTGGGTGCTGGCCCTGCTCATCATGTGCCCCTCTGCCATCACCCTAACTGTCACCAGGGAGGAGCACCACTTCATGGTGGACACCTACAACAACTCCTACCCACTGTACTCCTGCTGGGAGGCCTGGCCCGAGACAGAGATGAGGAAGATCTACACCACCGTCCTTTTCTCCCACATCTACGTGGCACCCCTTGCCCTCATTGTTGTCATGTATGCTCGCATCGCCTTCAAGCTCTTCAAGTCAGCGGCACCTGCCCGCAGCACCCGGCCTGAGGAGCCCGAGGGGAGGAAGGTGTCCCGTAGGAAGGCCAAGGTCATCAACATGCTCATCATCATGGCCCTCTTCTTCACTCTCTCCTGGTTGCCCCTCTGGACACTGATGCTGCTGACAGACTATGGTAACCTCAGCGAGCGCCAGCTGCACCTGGTCACCGGCTATATCTTTCCCTTTGCCCACTGGCTGGCCTTCTTCAACAGCAGCGCCAACCCTATCATCTACGGATACTTCAATGAGAACTTCCGACGAGGCTTCCAGGAGGCCTTTAGGGCCCCTTTCTGCTTGCCACCACGCCGGCGGCACCGTGGGCCCTATGGTGCCCGCAACCGTGTCTTCACCCAGCCCCAGGCCAGCGACTCTCCCCCCCACTCGGAATCGAGGCCGCTGGCATCCCGACGGGCTGGCATCCCTGCATGGAATGGCTGAGCAGCTGTGGCCACCAGTTTGTCTGATAGACGTGGATCTAGATGGGGACCTCGTGCATGACACTATACTAGGGAGGAAACCCCATATTGTTGTGGGTTTGGGGTCTTGATGTGATGATTAGTGAGTGTCCAACCCAAGGGCTTGTTGGGGAGTGGAAGGGAATAGGGATTTACAAAGTTATTAAAATAAAGGCACGACCTGCTGATATCATGTCTCCAAGTCCCTCGTTTACCCAGCCCATGCCAACCATTGTGGGGTGCGCGGCAGTGGGAGAGAAGATCCATGTGTGGGCTGTTCCATATTATCCTGGGCCATGCCCAGAGGAATTACATCCTGTTGTTGTGGCCCTGTGCTGCCATACGAAACTAGGTCATATCATGCCATGCTGCTATGGCCCTACTGGACTGTGCAATCTCTTGTGGCCTTGGTGGATCATGCAGTTGTGGCCACAATGTGCCAGACCATACTACGTTACTGTGGCCACGCTGGACACTAGCGTGTGGTTGTGGCACTGGTAGACCATGCCACCTCATGCTGTCATGGCCACGCAGTGCTGTGCCACGCTGAAGCACGGCACTGCCTTGTGGCCAGGCGGTACCATGCCACAGCGAACTACGCTATCCTATCCACAGCCCGCAGGCTGCGCTATACCACCCACGCCCTGCCAGCCCACGCCACTCTGCATGCACACGTCACCCTGTGCCACGTCACGCTACCGCACAGTGGCAGGGCAGCAGGACGGCTCTTTGCGCCTGCGCGGTGGGCTCGCGGGAGGGGCTCCGGTCACTAGGGGGCGGGGCTATACGAGAAGGGGGCGGGGTAACGGGCCGAATGGGGCGGGGTTGGCGCCGATGGGCGTGTCCAGACAGAGATGGGCGAGGCTACGGGCCTGGGGGGCGTGGCTGAACACGGGGGCGTGGCTACGGCCGTAGGGGAGCGCGAGCTGCGGCGCCTGCGCAGTGAGCCGAGCAGGCGGCGGGGAGCGTGTTGCAATGGCGGGGTACAGCGTGGAGGAGCGTGCCGCACCGCACAGCCTGGAGTACCGCCTGTTTTTCAGTGAGTGTGGCTGGCACCAGACCCCGGCTCCCCACGTCCCTTTTCTCATCCTCTTCTAACCGTCGTTTCCCCTCGCCCCCAATGGGGCGCTCACCTTGGGCGGACCCCAGGCCCTAGGGGCTGCCCCGCTGAGCGCCGCGCTTTGCCTTGCAGAGGACGCGGCCGGGCGGTACATCTCCCCCTTCCACGACATCCCGCTGTACGCGGACGCCGGCAAGGTGAGGGGACCGCCGGGGTTTGGAGGTGGGGGTGGTCATGGGGAAGGCAGAGGGGCTGCAGAGCTGAGGGCACCCTCCAGAAAGCAGTTGGAGCCGCCCCGACGTTGCTTTTGGCTGCTCGGAGAAGAGGCGGACTGCCATCAAAGGACAGCGATACGCTGGTCTTCATAAGCAAATACCGTGCTCCAAAGGTCCTCAGAGCAGGAACATTCGGGTGGTGCTGTGCTCTGCAGGTGCTACTGGAGCAGAGCAACGTGGTTACAGGGGTGCGGTGCTGCCCACAGGCTGGAAGGCTGCACAGGGACGTTTCTCACTTGGCAGGTTTGTTAGCAGCACCAGCCCCTCTCACTGTGTCTGAGCACCTTGATCTTTCTCTGCAGACTGTAAGCTAGAGAGGATTACTGGAGGGAGCTTTTCCAGCCGTGGGCTGGGAGGTGCTGACCTCATCCGTGTGTCCTGTCTGAGGGACTGACCTTGAGCTGCCTGCTGGGTGTCTCACCCAAGCCAGGTCTCTAGCTTGAGGCAGCAGAGCTGGGGGAGAGGTGTGCAGAGCCCCAAGCATCCTCTACCTGCACAGCCAATTCTTCATTCTCTGCAGCTATGTATAAACTAAACTAATAGCTATCCACTTTCATTTTAATTACACGTGGCAAGTGACCCCCTGCAATTAAGGATATGCAATGAACTTGTTAGGAAGGGGTGCGAGCAAAGTCAATGACATAACAGTGCTTGTTACACAATAGCAATCTAATTCTGGTGCTATGTTCCCTGTCTAGTACTACCTTTGTAATGCTAATGCTGCTTAACCTGGGAATTAGAAGCCTTGGGGATGCTAAGGGGGTAAGGTTTGACTGTTAAAAGCCATAATCTCTTTTGACAGCAAATGTTAAGGTTCAAGTATGAAACAGCTGTTTTGTGTTTTTTTTTTTTTCCTCCTGAGGAAGAAGGGACCGCGTCCCCTCAGCACAGCTAGAGACAGGACTCACCCATAAGTGAGATGCTGCACAGCGTGGCTGTGTTTCCCCCAACAGCCCTGTCCCTGTACCTCTTGACACAGAATGTCCCCTTCTGTGAGAGGAGGGAGCTCAAACACCTGGGAAATGATGTAAGCCTGAGCATTGCACCCATGCAGCTGTCACTGATCCACTTAAGTTTCCTGTTTTGCAGAAAGGTAACACAGACCTTTCACCTGCTGCCACCTCAGAACACCTGCAATCTAGGTTATCTTCATGAGATTAACGTTTGAGTAATGATACAATGGACTGGACTGCAGGACATCTATCAGGATTGGCACTAGAGGAAAAAAAAAAAAACAAAGTTTTGTTTTTCACACTTACTTACATGTGCTCTACTTTGAAGTGTGGTATTGAGATTTCACCTGTTCATGGATGTTTTGCTTTCTTCAGAATGTGTTCAACATGGTCGTGGAAGTACCTCGGTGGACAAATGCTAAAATGGAGGTAACTGTATTGCAGTTCCAGGCTGAAGTGCTTGAGCTGAGTGGGCTGCTAACCCCAGGCTTTGCCTGCTCTCCCTGCGGGCTCCAGGCTCTGCAGCCTGTAGGTTAGAGCTCGCTTCATAGAAAAAGCCACTGATTTCCTAGAGAGCCAGATACAGAAAATTATGAAACTTCTCTTTCAGATTGCAACAAAGGATCCCTTAAACCCAATTAAGCAAGATGTGAAGAAGGGAAAACTGCGCTACGTAGCTAATGTGTTTCCCCACAAGGGCTATATCTGGAATTATGGTGCTATCCCACAGGTACTGGATGGGTCTCACTCTTCAGGTGGGGGAGGGTGTGTGCCTATGTGCGTCTCTGACACCATTTCATGAGAGAGTAGAGTCTGAAGTGGAATGCTGCATCTGCAACTGTACATATAATCCTGCTAATGAGGAGAACCTGTCAAGAGAGCAGTGATGTTTGTGGGTAGAAATCTCTAGAGGCAGGCACGTAGGCACTGTGAAGAAGCTGTTGTGATAACAAGTAGCTGCTGCTTCACTCCTCACCTTGAGTTCAGCCACAGAAGTCGGTGTTCATCTTTGGGCTCAGGATGTGGTTGCTGCACAAGAGAGCTGAAGGCTCACAGTGGGTATCTGGCAGTTCTGCGTGCTTCATTCCTGCCTGGTGGAGCAGCAGGACCTAAAGCTGCAGTATAGAGCCTTGGTGTGCAGCCCCCAGGATGGATTATCTCAAAGACCCTGTGTGCTGCAAGTTAGCAACCAGCGAATTGTCCTTTTGCTCCTGATCAGAAACATGCTTTAAGCAGCTATTTTCAGAGGCTCAGCTCCAGTACCTCCTGGAGCATGGTGTGACTTCAAACACTTGCTGCTCCTGCTGAGATGCAGAAAGACACCAAGTAGCATAGGGTGTGGGACTCACATTCCTACTTCTGCTCTGCTGCCTTCAACTGCTTAACTGAAAGGAAGCAATACACGCGTCTGTCTTCCACCTCTGTTATCTGGGGTTCAGGAAACTTCTGTTAAGAAATGAGTAGGGATGGGAACAGGCAGGAAGCCAAATCAGTGAGCATTCTTTATAGATGTGAACTCCACCTTTATGTGGCTTTTTAATTTGAGAGGAAGTCTGAAATGTTGTTAAAGGGTTTGTCAGTGGGAAAGACCAGTTTACCCTTGGCAGGATAAGAACTTGGCTTGAAACTGCATTTACAGGCAACCATAAAACAGTAATGCAATTGCTAGATGTAAAAGCAAGTGTGGGGTGGACCATCATCTGTATCTTCAAGGCAATTGCATGCATGAAATAAACCTGCCTTTTGCTTCTTCTTGAGTCCCTATTCAGCATATGGAGAGATTTGTTTGTGGTTTTTTTGCTGTTTTTTTTTTTATTATTATTATTTTTTTTTATTATTATTTTTTTTTATTTTTTTTTATTTCCTGTAGACTTGGGAAGACCCAGGCCATAAGGATGAAAACACTGGCTGCTGTGGAGACAATGATCCGATTGACGTATGCGAAATTGGAAGCAAGGTAATACATTCCAGAGGGTAACTGTAATTAATGTCCCTGAAATCAATTGCTCAGAGTCATTATTCATTTCTTGCCACCTGTATCTTAAGAACATGATGTTTCTTCCCCCTGTCTCCAGAGATTGTTGATGAGATCTTACAGTGCAAGCCCCATGAGCTTAGGCTCATGAGCTGCTGATAAGAGACAGCTGCCTTCATGGTGTAGGGCTGCTTGCTGTGCTCTGACAACTTGTACCAACTCCTTTGTGCATTCCTTGAATGTGTACAGAGAACTCTTTTGTCATTGTAGGTCTGCTCACGAGGAGAAGTGATTAAAGTGAAGGTGCTAGGCACACTGGCACTGATTGATGAGGGAGAGACAGACTGGAAGATAATTGCTATCAACATTGAAGATCCTGAAGCAGAAAATTATAACGGTAGGGAGGAACATGTCTAATCCTTCCTTTCCTACCTTGAATGTCTGCAGGAGACTTTTGGGTTAGCATCTGGATAGATGCAATACAGACCATAGTAGCAGAATAGGATGTTAAGCTCTAGCAAAACACTATACTATTTACACAAATTAAGACCTTTGCATAGTTGGGGGTAATGCTATAATATGATAGAAAGTATAGCAACGATAGCAGAGTGGCACAATGCTAGGCTGTAGTAAATAAGAACAAGCCCAAACATAACAGCAGAAATGTGATTCTGTGACTGCAGAAATAGAGGAAAAAAAACTACTTACCCTTAGACTGCCTCAGGTACACAGGGATCTTCAGAGAGATGCCCTTACCTTCACTGCTAACT